AGGGGTAAAGGGAAAACCAAAAAGGGAAAAAGGGCGCGGTTTTTTTTTTTTTTTTTTTTTTTTTGTGTCTTGTTATTGTTGATATTTTCAGGGTGTTACGCTGGTCATGGCAGTGAATGATAAACAATTTGTTAGACAGGAAAATAGTGATTTGCTTGATTAATCCTGCCAAAATCTGGCGCAGCAGCTTTGTGTATTTCTAAATGTATTCAAAGTTTAGCAAGTCACATGTCACACAACGTCGATAGATAGATAGATAGATAGATAGATAGATAGATAGATAGATAGATAGATAGATAGATAGATAGATAGATTTTATTGGAATTTCAATCCAACACAAACCAGCACATTATAAAGTTATAGGTAAAACTCCTGTAAATCTTAAAAGCATCAGCTGTCTGATGAGACCAGAGTTGAACTTCGTGGTCTAAACGCAAGAAACGAAACTTTTCTAACACAAATCTCCATAGCAACATATAGTCACATAAACATTTGCAAACGGACTCACAACCCCATCAACCTCATCCAAAGGACCTATACTAGATGACACCATATTTGAAGTTTGACCCTTAACTCACAGCCGCCACCATCATGGTGGTGGCATCATAATGCTGAGGGGCTCGCCGCTGCAGATAGACTCAGTTGACAAAGCATAAATGTGCGGCTCCATGTGGGTTTCAGTGGTTTCCCCCCAAACGACCACAACTGGATCCGGTCGTGGTTCTCCAGTTTTCACCCCACAAACCGCCGGTGCTTGTTGCTGGCGCTTTAATGTTAATGGTTCTGCAGAGGGCTGCTTCTGCTGCTCCCTCTGCGGTTCCCGGCAGCCACCACACCAAATGAAGTTGCATGTTCGTGGTGGTGAACAGCAAACGGATCAAAGTGAGTCCTCGGTGGTCTGTAAATCTGAGGCTGTTTTTTTTTTTTTTTTTTTTTGGATGAAACGTGTCGTATTTAGATTGTTTTTAGTTTCATCCTGAAATCTGGCTGAAAAATACGTTCAGACATTTTTTTTCTTCTTCTCCTTCTTCTTCTTCTTATGCCCGTGTTTTCCTGGCAACTTTCCACTCAGTCTGAGCCGAAACGGTTAACACACACGCCATACATCACAGCTGCTCATTCGCTCCCCAAAGCCAAAAAGGAAGTTTACTTACATTTTCACCACATAAAAATCCACGTAGGCTCCCTTGTCCCGTTCACCACAGAGGAGCCCTCAGTCAGTCTCGACTCTACGGACTCTGGGCGACAAATAACTGCGAAAGCCTAGGGAAAGTTTTTTTTTTTTTTTACTTTTTTTTTTCTTCTTAAAAATTGTGTGTCTCCTGGCTCGAAGTTAACGGCGGGAGGCTGGGGCCGCTGTGTGTGCGCCATTCTCCCGAGTCTATTTCAACCCGCACCACAGGAAACGCAGGAGCTGATCCAAGTTCAAAGTCACGTCTGCCGACCCCTATAAGAAGTTCTTTATTTTTGTGGGAAAACCAGGGAGCATTCCCCAGATAGAGAGAAAGGCATAAAGAAAATTAAAAAAAGAAGAAAAAGGGAAAAAAATCAATAGGGGAAGACTGCAGCTCACTTCTAGCTGAAGGAAAAGAAATAAGGAGAAGGGGAAAAAAAAGAGGGTCTGGCCCATTGCAAAATCCCCCCAAAGAGCAGTATTTCAACAGGTTATTAGAGGCACTATATTACACATTGAGAGC